GTATTTTTTATGTTAACAATTTAACTAGTGAACAAGTGCAAGCAATAAATACCGATATCTTTTGTTATGCACACTCTTTCCAAATGAGTCATTGACAAACAATTTTATGTTATAGAGGTTGTGGAAGCATTTCTTTAAGTTACTGAGGGCCGATTATTAATACAGAGATTACTTATTTAAGTTACAGAGGTTGCGTATTTTAAGTTGCTGAGGTTTTGGGCTCTGTTGGGAAGGGAACATATTATTTTTTGAAGTTATAGAGGTTTTTAAGTTACCGAGGTTTGAGTTATCGAGGTTCTACTGTACCAATATTCTGGTCGGCAATATCTTGGAGTTGAAGATAACGTTTATGCCGAAAAGCGTACCCGTACTTCGCCCACGAATGTTTGTTATAAAATTGCTTTCAATCATTAAAAATAAAAGTTGATCATCCACCATTTTTGTCATTTAACCAGTTTGCTTTTGAGCAATGGTCGGTGCATTCATCGATAATAAATTTCAATAATATTACCCTAATTGTATTGGTAAAATAGCTGTATAATTAAAGATTGCTGACGCATGTTATAAGTGTTTGTTAATATCATTTTCAATTAACAACATTCGTCATCCATTGAAAATATAATTGAGTTATTAAATATGTCATTTTGTAATAGACACACGAAGTTGCATTAACTTCCATTAAGATTTAATAACGACTTTAAACTCTAATGAATATTCTAAATAAAAAAAAAACGTTTCGGAAAGATCAATTTAACTAATGTCAATTTTCATGAACGTTTCTGCAACTGGGGGTAGCTAATATTTTATTCATGAAAACCCTAATATTTTAATTAAACGTTTAAAGGTTTATATTTTGAGAAACAAGTTATATCTACGTAATATACATTTAAGGCTATTTTAAAATTATCATATGTCATCACCGCAACAAAGAGTTTTGAGATTTCGTTAGAGTTTCAACTTTACATATCTTAACGGTTATTTATTTTATTTTTTATGATTTGTTATTGCTTTTAGTTGTAGTTTTGGTGTAGAAGATGTAATTGCTACTGCTATATGATATAGCAGAATACTGGTGCAGCTGCTTACCGAGTTAAAGTTAGCTGTACAACCACAGATCTTTTTTATTGACAACACACAAAATTACCCCTTTTAGATGTATTTTTAGAATTGAAGTATGTATATATGTGACTAGTGGCCGCCAGCGACTTCGTACTTCGCGTTTTCCATTATTTCTTCGCTCCTAATAGTTGCAGCGTGATGTTTTATAGCCTAAAGCCTTCCTCGATAAATGGTCTATCGAGATTAGCGCGTTCAAACAAACAAACTCTTCAGCCTTATAATATTAGTATAGATATGTTAAGTTAGTAGTAGTAGTAAATAACCTACTCCGTTTTAAAAGTATTCAAGCGATTTAGACCTCGTAAGGTTACTTCACGGGTATAGCCACTAGTTTTCTTACATTTTTTTCTTATTAATGGGCCACTCTTGATCTCATTCCAGTCTGGGAGCATAGATCAGATCTACAACGAAACGAGCTTGCTCAACACGGATTGAATTGGGTCTTTAGTTTATTTTTTGTTATAAAAAAAATCTTGATTCGATCCCTTCAAATCAACACCTTTAGATTATAGATTTAATGAAAGGAGATGATTTAGTTTCATACAAATTTAAAGAATTTAAATATTATAAGTATTAATCACTATAGAATTTTATAATTAACTGATAATAATTAAAATGTTACTTACAGCATCCATAAGTATTCTTCGTTGGGTTTGCTGGTTTGCCTCTGTAGGGAACTGAACTGGACTCCTAGAACGATCAGAATTTTCAAATGCTTATAATAAAATAAGCTACAGATTATACCATTGATATTCATTAAATATACATTTATAATATTTTGTAGTTAATGGTTTGAGTATTTTCCAACTAAGCTGCGCTACAATAATAGAAGTCAATGAGAATGACAATGGGAGTGTTACTGCAACTTTCGGTCGCCAGATTGCAGCACTGCAGTATTGCAGCATTATTGTTGCATATTTGGATGTAAGAGAGAAAGGAATCATTCACTTGTAAAAAACAAATTGTACAGTATTTGCTAGTAATCAAAGAAGTACTTGAAAAAGAAAACCTTGTAATATAATCAAAATTTTTTTTTATATACGAGTGAGAGATTTTCTTGTAGACAAAAAAGTGAAAAGATGATTATCGCCGCGCCAGAAGATAAATTATATCCGTGAAACTCATAGACATCTGCAGTATCATAATCGTAAATCTAAAATCAATAATTAATTTGAACTTTTTGGTTGGATTTGTACAAAAAAGTAACACTCAAATGAGTTATCATTCAAATAATAAAACTAGATCGTACTTCTTAATAATTACAAAACATTATTTCTAATAATTCCTTTTATACATAAAATCAAGAAAAAATCTTTTAGTGTATGAGCTGAAACCACAGTTTTCAAATTCACAAATGTTCATAATAATCGCGTTCTTTATTATGATTGGGTTCAACAGAATCATGACTGCGGATGCTATTTGAAGAATTTCAATTGACATAGCGTTAAGCAGTTCAATAAACCTTGATTTTATTCAAACAACGAAGACAATTATGCCTCTTTATTGTTTTGCTTATTGCATATAATTGAAGTTAAAATTTAATTGCATTGTTTTTCCAAAAAGTTTCCTCTATAAATACTTGATGAAAAAAAATACATTCCACTTATTATTAACCAAAGTACGTGTCTTTTCAACAGGAGTCATTACGTGTTAGAGAATTCAAGGTGAAATGCCGAGCAAAATATAATAATACTCGCAAATAAGTTGGTTAACAATAACTTTTTCAGTACAGTGAGCTCGTTTAGTCGTTTACGTATGTACATACAATAAGATTGATTTCTGATGTTTTATCAGAATTTTGTGATTACAAACCTTATCTTTATAATGTATATCTAAAGACATATTATTATTTATCTTCACGCCTTAATAATCATATTTATCAAAAATATGAATTGATAAATATAATTATTAAGAAAATCTAAGTATCTCATGAATACACACGCCGGTTTTAAGGTAAAAGTAAGGTAAATGTGTCACCTCTTATTTTATTAATTAATTTATAGAAAATAAACATATACTAAATTATAAATAATAATTAACATAAGTCTGAGTGGTTCCTTGTTTAAGATTTTCATAATAAACAAGTTTCAGGTATAAATTCAGTGAACCTCTATGCTACGACAGCACCGCCGTGCTCGACGTCGAGTTCTATATTGTTTTTATAATAAAATAGCACTGCTGCTTGTCTTACTTGGGATCTGTCTGAGCATGTCATTTGTTTAATACTGATATTTTTATATATTTCTTAGTATTTAGTCAGTCAAATTTGAATTTAACTTGTCAACTGATTAAGGTTTAAAATCGACTGGAGAATTTTAACCTTTTGTTATTTCAAACTTGAAGTCGATTGTACACTTTCATGGTTAACTAGTTTGACTGAAACAAGTTTTTGTTTACTCATTTAAATGAGCTAGTTGCATACCTAATAATAAGAGTGAATGTAGTTGTACGATTTTTTAAAATAAGATTAAAGAATCAAGCTAAAATCAACTTTACTGGCTCTTGAAAAAGTTGACAATCTATAAATAGACAGAGACACGCCCCCGAGTTTCGTGCGTCATTATTTGGAAACAAAGTTATTCATATTCTTAAATAATTTATATCATATAGCAACTCTATAAAAATAAACACTTAACTTTATTTAAGTTCATTGTTCCATCTTGTATACAATTTTCGACATTTCATACTTTTGTTAGATTGGGTTAGAAACTTCGTGGTATAAATTACCCATTAATGATAATACACTTCAAAAATACCAAAATGTACAGATATTTAAAATACTAAACTGTATTGCGCGCTATTGACTCTATGTATTTATTAATATCATTTAGAAAAATATAATCATTAAAATTTACTGTTAAATATTACATAAATTCAAATATTAAATATGAAAATGGTCACTTTGTAAATATCACATGAAATAACTATCAATACATATCGATTCACAGTACTCTACAAAAATATCAATTATAATAAAACTAACCTGCTTGTGAATTTTGGGAACCTGTCGAGCTTGCACTGTTTTCGCTTTCAGTGCGTCTTCTTGAATTGAAAAATAAATTCCAAGGATTATAGCTCGAGTACAGCGAGTTGTTTTGAGTCTTCGATGTGTTCTTGCTATCCGAATTCATTATTATTAAAAATAAACAAAAATGTTGTCTACGTGAGAACTGTCAAGCACACCGTTTGGTAACACAATAACAAATGCCGAAGATCGTAAGTAGTAAACGCACGCGCATGCCCCGGCTTTGTTATGAACCGAGCGTTACCGACTAAATACGGAAACTACCGATGATCATTGACGCGGTGGACCTTGCCCCAATCACACAAAGACATTCACTTAAATATATAGTATATTGTAATTGCTTTAATTGAGTGTATAGTAATTGCTTTAATAACTTTGAATATGTAATTATCGGAATATATTCAATAGAAATAGAAATTTTAGCGTTTGAAATTTTATAAATAACAACTAATGTTCGTGTAAGAAAATTATATTTAAAATAGTAGTAGCATTGTTCTTTTTTTCATTTTAATGGTATTTTAATTAAAAGATATAGTATCTAGAAACATACGTAGGTGTGATTTATTCATCAAATAAATAGCATTTCAAATAATATTTTTTCTCTAAAGTTTGCAATGATTACAATCTTTTTAATACAAAAACAGACGTCAAATCTAAACTTTAAATGCTTTAAACCTTCAAACATGTTTCAAACTTACATTATGACAGTTGGTGACATTCAGTCAAAAGAAATTTAAACACTAAATATTTGCAGTTAGTAGTGAAAGATAAAAAAATAAAGATTAACGGGTAGTTTTGACTGTAGTTTTAAATACCCTTTAGTATAACGTTTGAATAAGTCTCAAAAAAAGACACAATGAAGATTCCATACGTTGTATCTGAAAATACGCGCAAGGCGTACGCCACAACTACCGTGATGAAAAACTCATTGGCTGAAGGCAACCGTAAAATAATATCCGAAGACTTTGAATGGGATGATGGTGTTACTCCTGCGCCCCTTACTTACTTTGCTGCCTTATCTTTATCCAGAGCATTTCATATAATCAACCCGCTCAAACGAATTTTACAAAAAGATATAGATATGCTTATGGATTTGTATCCTGCCGACATACCTTTGAAATGCTGCGTACCTTACATAAAAGTAAATATTATGACATTTCTTTTGTAAAATAATAATTGTATTAGTGTATAATTTAAATTACCCAATTTTCAGGATGAACAATATTGGAAAAGGTCTTTTGCAACTAAATTTCCATCACGGTTAGAACTAGGAGTAACATTCTGGAAAGGGAAATTTTTATCAGCATGCTTGCAAGATTATTTAGAAAATGTCAAGTGTGATGTTTTTATAGAAGAGGAGGCCGTTGAATTAGCGCAACTGGTAAGATAACTAAACTTGGATTGTTCAATGTCAACATTAAAAGGATATAACACATTAATTGTTTTAGGTGAGTCCGTATATTTACGAATTGGGGTTGAACCAATTGCAAATGGCTCGACAGCCAAAGCCACCGATACCTTGTGATGATGTCGTACAAGACACGTGTCCATTTAGTGTAACGAAAGTATACGATCATATTCCTCTAGAACCTGTTCTAGCAAAACTGTACAATCTCCAAGAAATCTCTTTAGTTTTCGGGTTGAATGGTTTGCAAGACGATTACCAACAAAGATATTTTGAATTTTCAATGGCTGACTGTGAATCGATATGCCGTGGTCTTGAAGATTTACGACATCTAAGAACTTTCAGAATCAACAGGAGTAATCTGGATTGTTCTAAAGTGAAAATACTTTTGCAAAATTTAGTAAAGAAAGAGAGTATTGAAGAATTGGATTTTAACCATTGTAAGATAGGCGATTATGGCATGAAAGCATTGGGTGGTTTCATTTTTATTCACACGAACGTAAAACGGGTGAGGATAGCTAACAATAGATTCAAAGAAGTTGGCGTACAAGGTATTGCTTATGCTTTACAAATGAAACCAGCAGCTCCCATTGAATTGATAGGTATGTTAATATAAATAATGGTGTAAAGTATACTTCTACCAAGAAGAATACTTTTGATTGAATATTTTATTGCTTAGATTAGGTACTAATAGATTGTATTCTAAAGATTTTAGTTTGAATCCGATGTCTCTCGAATGTGCAACAACATTTGCAGCAGCGTTTGTTCGTTGTAAGGAGAAACCTCAAACCTTGATTGTTAATTCATGTGGATTTAGCGGTGCATCTGCTGAGAAGGCAAAATATTTTTATTATATCTTTTTTATTATTCAAAAAGTATAAATAAAATGATAGAACCTATGAAATGAAGTCAATTTAATCTCGATAAGAATTTTTGTATTCAGATGGCTGGGCTACTTAGTCTCAATAGAGGTCTAACCAGATTGGATATGGCCGCAAATGACTTATCGGGAGAGGCAGAAAAGACTCTTATTAAAGCACTCGAACAAAATAAGAAAGTTTTGAGAGTAGATTTGCGTAGAACCCGTATGTATGCTACTTTATATGTATTTATATTTACGACAGCTCTAATGAAAATATATTGGAAACCTAAAAAATTGCGGATTTGGTTTTATATTCTGTCTAGCCAAATTTCTAACATTGCAATTTTATTTTAAACTCCTGCGAGTTCTTGTACAGTTACCAGAGTTTAATTACCTACAATATTTTACCTTGGGTATGAACATAAAATGCAGGTGGCAAAAATACTATTTTTATTATTATTTATTTGTTTTACCAACTTAAAATTAGAAGTCAGTCGAAAAGTCATAAAACCCAATTATTATTCATCGAATGTTCATTACGTCGAAATAATATAATTTTGGCTGAGTCATTCGTAAGAACTTTTTTTAATAGAATAATGATTACTTCAAAGCTAGTAAAGTAATTACTAAAGTTGGTACTTGTTACTTTCAGTCTAATGATTTAATTATATCTACTAATTCATCGCAAATAAGTGTATTTTCAATTAATTTTACAACAAGTATATGTAAAACGCCAATTTAATTACACGACGTAATATTATTAATTCCGTCATAATCAATGGTACAATTTTACTTTACTTAACTAATGTATGTGAAGTAACAACTTTCGATTAAATAATCGTTATAATTAATGAAGTTGATCATTTGTTTATTTGAGATTAAAGAAGATTGATTCAATAATATTCGGTCAAATAATATTCTATATTTAGTAAGGGTATTTGTCTGTATTATAGACTACTTTATTATATATAAATTTTTAATTAAAACCATTTTTATTAATAAGTTAAGTAATTTTGTCCTTTCAGAGAGTAGTATTATTTATAACTTGCTCAACCAAATATATCGGAAATTTGTGAAGTCCAATACAAATAGGAACTACATTAACTTGCAAATAGTTGTAAAGAATGGCCAAGTCGAAGCTTTAATTATATCCCGACTTCCACTTCTTCTTCTTAAAAACTAAATATCCGAATTGTTCCACCTGATTTTGTGTATGCTTAGCAACACATTTATAAACAGCTGTTATACCGCGATTTTATCCACTTATATTATAGTCTATGTCATTCACGAATGGTTAAATAATTTTATAATCAGTCGTGTGGTTTTGGAGCCTTTTAAATATAAACAATCAATTCTTTAGTTTGATGTTACAGATATATCAGATGAAACACAGGCCAAAGTTAACGAACTTCTCGAAAGAAACAAGAACCTACTTGGGCAGGAAACTGAGCCTAGTGACGAAATACCACCTCTGTACCTGAACGAACCAGAATACCTCATTTGGGAATACAATCCTAACAACCCCGATCACATTCCAGGCAGATACCCGGAGAGGGTTCGCGAAGTATAGAACACATAATATTTTTTATTGATCACACTTTCGAGTGTTGATAAATTGCGATCAATTTATTTTTTGAATAACTACTCATACGGAATAACATGACACGTGAATTCTATTATATTTCTCCGAAAACGAAATTGCGACTCCAAAGAAACGTATTTTTTGATAATTTATGATTCAACCTAGACAGAACCTGACACTGCCTCTGAGGCACACATTATTTTCACGGCTATGATTATAGCTAAATTATAAGAGCGATTCTAAATTTTAAGAAAATTTAGTTCTAGTACAACTCTCAAGTGTCATGTTAATACGTAGGACAACTTCAATGCTTTATTATACGAATATTTTAATGCATTAATCGTTGTATTTTCTTTACCTTTTAAATCTTGTCTAATGTTATTTGAAACGTACACGGAAAAAATCCATTGAATATAAGATTATGATAATATTATGAACAAGGAAACATTATCATGGTGAATCGCAAGCATGATAATGAGACCTTGATGCATCTCGACAGCCAATCCTTTTGCTACTGCTTCATCGTGAGATATTTATTATATACAAGTAAAGTTCAGAATGATCTACTGAACTTGGCACCATTTCACATATAGTCGGTTCATTTCACTATTGTCGGTGGAGCCGACGATCATTCAGCTTAGACACATTGAAGTTGGCTATCAATTTTCACGTTTGTTTTTGGTGGGATATCATTACTTTTCTTTCTTTCTTTTTGTTAGTGACAATAATATTATTAAGACTATGCGCTGTTTAAAAAAAATACGGTAAAGAAAGTAGTTTAAAACGCTCATAAGCCAGTAATAGACAAAATTAAACTTGAGCGCTGCTTAAAAAAAATTCCTATACATTTTATATAGAACATCCAGAATTGCTACAAGTGTAAGTTTGTAATCACAAATTTTGTAGCTCATCTAAAAGTGGATTAGATTTTAGATCTATATATTATACATTCAATAGTTAAAAATGTCCATTTTTGGTCGTCAATATTTACATAAACGTTCTATGTTTATAAAATTTGGGTCACTAGTTGACCTGGGTCTCGATATATAAAACCACTAGTTCACCTTGTATTGAGATTCAATATCTAAAACAAATATGGTGTGTTTATTTTAAATAGATTTTGAATTATGAGAGGGGAGAAAAGAGGCTTTAATCGGTTCATGTGATATTACATATTACACACGGTGCTGCTCACCAGCAGGCCAACATAGTTAATGTTTACGTAATAGTATCATCTCAAAATAATCTTAAGTACCTGAATTCCATTATTACTGTATATCTGTGACAATTGATTTATGAGGTTGATATTGCACTCATAATGTTGGACTTCAGGTATAGAGTACGACGGCAAAATACAATTAGTTGAGAATCTATTGAGATGCTTTAAGTTGATCCGCTGCCGTGTATGTTGTCGTCTTTGGTTTGAAACGCATATATTGCATCATTCTCGAAAATCAAAATCGCTAGGAGGACAAGAACTATGAAATTCAGCAAATAACATTGTTTTTGGTGTAGGTATTAGGACATAAAAATAAAGCCATGATGCGATATCAAGAAGAAGTGTAGTTAAAAAAAAAAATTAACTCATAAAATTTAGTTTTATAGCGGCTCGAAATTTATAAATGAACCTAATACTAGTTCATGTGAGGTGTCTTAAGAAAGGCTTGATGTGAATATTTTAAAAGATATTATATATGATTTCAGAAATTACAAATTGGTACTGAACCCTCTGTGGGCAAATCCGACTTCCATTTTCCGTTTTTTGTTGCCTTCCCGTTTTTACGCTTCAAATCTTTCTTTTTATTAATTTGCCCTGTCTTCCTCGTTAGAAGGGCGTCAGATTTTCGCCCTTCGGAACAGAAGCTGTGACATTTCCACCTTAATCGTTTCATAAATATATATTTTAATATTATATCGTTTTGAGAAATTGAAATTCGATTGCGAGAAAAACGTCAAAACATCTATCTAGAAACATTTAACTCAATGGAAACAGGGGCATCTTCGCATTGAGTTAAAAATGCTTCTATGCAGTGGCGGATTTACTTGTAGGCTGGAGTCTGATTTTAGGGAGTGGCAAATTTGTGGCAGTTTTTATCTTAATTAGTCAGTAGGTAAGACAATCTTACAGAAATCAAAGGATTCATATTAATTAGATACACTTAATTAGATAAATTAGATACACTCAAAGATCGAAATCACAGTTATGGTCACATTAAAATGACTCTTATTGAAATGCTCACGACGCGTTGTGGCATTCACAGAATAACCACAAAGCGAAATCAGTCTCTTGGTTGGCATGCTATTCGACCACAATGCGTTGTGGTAATGAAGAAAAATCATGAAGCGTATTGAACCATATTTGATTAGGTTAGGTAAGATTAAAGTATGATAAACAACGCAAGAGCCAAGCGAGCAAAGCAAGCGTGCCACGGCAGCGCCCGGTCAAGTGCCAGAAGCGAATTGCAAAATAAAGAAGCGTTATTGTAAAATATAATAGGTAGTTTAACCAAATAATGCTCAGAATTCGTCGTAGCTTTTCTTCATTGCTACAACGCGTTCAGGTTGAATAGCGTGTTAGTCACGACACTGATTTCACTATGTGGTTATTTTGTGATTGCCATAACGCGCCATGAACGTTTCCATTAGAGCCATAATACGAATTTCACTATTTGTTAATTCTGCGATTGCCACAACGCGTTGTGAACTATTTTTGAACCATTTTCACTCAATGAACTATTTTGATTTTTGTGCGTAACACATATATTTAAAGGTCCATTTGAATACTGAAAAATTTTAAAATTAATTCATTGATATAAAATTTGTATAGCATACAAAATTTTGCTGGCGGAAAGAATCACTTAACCAGATAATTTGATAAGTTGCTTTTAAACTGTAAGTGCAATATTTCATTATCTATAGATGCTTGAGCTTATATGAGTTCAGCAATATACCCGCTGAATTGTTTTGGATTAATTAAATCTTTCCATTAGTTACTTACGGAACTTATTTCAATTACACTTATTTCAGATGAAATCAGAGTGGTAAGTGTAAGTTTTACGCTAACGCGTTTACTAGTGAGCGCGTTATGAATTTGTATGGAGATTTATAGTTCTTGGTAGTTACCGCTAGAGGCGTTGTACCGGATTCCAAACTAAAATCTTAACACGCTCACGATAGACGGTGAACATAAACGTCATAAATATGCACACTAAGCGTTAAGTATGAAATCGTTTATAAAACACATGGTCAGTTTTGAAGTAGTAGAATTAGATTATTTTGATGATAGCGCAAATAGTAAGGTATGAATCGTTATTGTAAGCTTTCATGATAATATTCATTAAAATTATAGTTTTTTGTGTAATTTATAATATCAAGAACTTAATAAAAAAATGGTAGCAGTCCATTAAAAAAAACTATCATTCTAAGGTACAGCATTGTAGAGATCGGTAGTGGCGGCAGAAATATAGAATAGCCTACTGGCGGCAAATCTCTGAATCCGTCACTGGTACAATGCGACATCTGGCAGAAGATTATCTAAGTCTAAACGATGTATCTCGTATCACATTCAAGAAACGAATAAGGAGCTTTCCTGTCTTGCATATCAAATAGAAACGTTGATGTTTTTCTATATTTTATGTCGGAAATGTTGAGTTTTAAATTTCTTAATATCATTTGTTATTTAAGATTTTGTAAAGTCAAATCCCAGTTATTTTATAATAAACTAGCTTTCCAACAGAGGCTTCACTTGCGTGGTCCTGTATTTACATAAAAAACTTAGTTTTGAATCACCTTATCTAATAAAAAAAAAACATCATCAAAATCCATTGTCTAGTTATAACGATTTAAGAGTACATAGGGACAGACGGAAAGCGTATTTGTTTCATACTATATATGAAATATTCGACCGGTTTCTGAATTGAGAAAAGTACAAAATCTCAACTAATTATCCTTAATAATTAAGTTTTTTACGTTTTTTATGGTAAAAAGTCCAAGTTTTATCAAACTGTTATCTTCTTAAATTAAAATCAGAAACGAAAACCTGTTTAAATGGCATTTGAAATGGCTTAAGTACGGTTTGAGACGTGCTTAACTTTAAATTCTCAATTCAGAAACCGGATGTGAAACGTTTAAATTTTTAAAAAATATTCATCCATCAATAAACCTAATAAAATTCATCCCTTTGAGTTCTAATGAATGCTCAGTGATATGGCGTGTCCGATTCACTAACTCCAATCAATGCTATTTGTTTCTTCTGTTCGGTGGCTCTTTAGCAATCCATTTGTACTAGGAATTTCGAAACCTCTTTCTTTTTAAATAGAACTGATTTCAAACTTTAATAAAATGAGCCATAATAGGTTTCTGAATTAAGAATTTAAAGTTAGGCACGTCTGAAACCATACTTAAACCATCTTAATCGTCACATAAACAGTTTTTTATTTTTTTCATGATCAGTTGATAGCAGTTTGATTGACAAGGACTTTTGCCATGTGAAACTTAAAAAACTTAAGTTATTGAGAATAATCAGTTGAGATTTTGTACTTTTCTCCATTTAGAAACCGGCCATTAATTAGTCAAGAAATAGCTATTGAATTCGGGTGGACGTTTACTGTAGGTTATTAAATGATACCTATCCGATTTTCAATAGCAGTTTTTGGAATAATTAAGTAGTTTAGTATTATAATTACTATTTATCACATCTTTAAAGTTTGAAGTAGGTTCTAATAAAAAAAAATATTTACATACCTAATGATATTATTATTTATATAGGTAACACAAAAAATATTATGTATCTATAAAATATATAAGAGAAGATTTTGTTAATTTGCATTGAATAGGCACCGGAAGTACTGAACCGACTTAAAATTACCTACGGGAAGCAGATAATTTCATTTCTTTGTTGTCACAATCAACAAAGAAATCGGTGGACCTATTTACTTAAATAAAAAATATACATACCCGTTGAACTTAATAAACCTCCTTTCGGATTT